ACATGTTCTCCCATACATTCAAAATGTAAATTTGAATATTGTTTTGTTGACATATTTGCCACGTTATGTTCAGACCATAAGACTCTTTCTATAAGTGAAGAACTGTTTTCTGCATTTTTTTTCTGTAGTTTCGGAGATAAGGAGGGGAGAATGGTCAATTTTGATCTATTTTCTTAAAGAACTATAAAACTATTTATTTTAAAATTATAAAAAAAGTAATATTTGATATCCTTACAACAAGCCCTTTCATTTGAAATTCACACGGTACAGTTTGCAAATCCGTTTTTTTTTTTATTTTCTATTGACTACCCAACAATGACCCCCATACTCAAAATTAATTTATTTACGTTATGGGTCCGTGTTTGGAACACATAAATTGACTGTGACAGACGGGACCTTAAAACTGTTTTATAAGTGACCCCATAGCATAGATGGAACCCTGTTTGTTTTTTAAAACCACTTAGTGCTAACTTTACTCTTGCCTATAAGGATGCTACTGATTACCTTCGTAACAAACTAATGAACATTTTGTGAAAAATTTTTGAAGCGACATTTTTCTGGTTGTACCTAATGGATGTTCAAGTAATGGTCGAAACTGTTTAATTTTACAAAAGTTGCTAAAATATTTTTCTTACACTTTTTATTACCGAAACCGGTCGTTTCTTAGGATATTTGGAAAGGTCATAAAAGTCTGCAATAGTTAAAGAAATGTTGGGACTGGATCTAGAGTGTGCCGTCTGGTGCCCCTTCCCACACGTCGTTCCAAGTCCTTTACCCCGTAAATGTCGGAACATCCCCGTCTAGGACCAAATGATTGCATGGCAAAAGCGCATGGAATTTCGGGGAAACACAACACGACTGTGCTTGGGAGTCAGCCGGTGACGGTGATGTAAGTAAAGTATATATACATATATAGTTGGTAAAATCCGGGAGGGTGGAGATGCGTCTGGACGGCCTTGCTTTTCGGGCGGATCGATAGTACCAGACACAACATACCCCACTCCCCATTTCAATCCCTCGTCTGCCTTCAGCGACCGGGGTGAAAATTTCAAGCGAACTTCGTCAGACGGTCCCAGTAATGACAGAAAGGGAAAGTGACGAAAAGTCTCCCCGGCGCGCATTTAAATAGTGAGATATCTAATTAACACCTGTAAACTGATAGATATGAACATCCTTGATTACAAAAGATTACCTTGCTGTAGAGGGCCTAATGAAAAGTAACCAATTTATTCATGGCCAGACGCTTATTGATGGATTCACAAATACATATATCACAGAATTTTAAATTGCTGTAGGTATCTAACTGATAGATCTCAAAAGGATACAAAAGAATGTAATAGTGAATTAATTTTTGAATTATTTACCCACTACAGATAAACTGAAATTAATGAGGTACGTATCGTACAGTCACTTCTATGCTCGCGAACGATTTATTTAGAAACTCGAAAAAGGTTATGTTTGGAGCGCGGCGCTGTACGGGTGCGAAATATGGACGGTGGGTGCTGCGGAAAATAAAAGGTTCGAAATGTGGTGTTACAGGCGAATGATAAGGATACCGTGGATAGAGAAGGTTAGAAATGAACCAGTCCAACCAGTCTTAGGACTGACAACCTTATGATAATGATGATGATGTATCATCGATGTTGCTGCTGTTACCTCCCTGTAGTTTAGTGGTAAAGTACAGGTACTTAAAACCAGGAACCGGGGTTCTACTCCCGGCATGCGAGTGAGCAGCAATAATTT